GAGGCCATGGATATTATCTTTAGATATTTGTTTTTGTTTTGGGTTGACCTTTATAATTGGCCAGGTACAGTGTAGGTCAGTTGGTTATATATCTGTCTAGAATCTTAGCCATGGCTTCCCATTACGTTTGTCGTGAAACTAAATAAATCCATGGAATCATTTTCAAAGACGTTGTTGAAGGAAGGCTAAATGTAACATACAGGATTAGGGTGAACACGTCTTTTTCTCTACAATTTTTCTATTGAACATTGAAATGCAAGGACAAAATATATCCTGTGGTTCCCTGAGCATGTGCACCAGTAAAAATTACAACAGAAGTTTTAATTGAGTTTCACTTAGTAAGACAAGCACCTGTGCTGTGATTCCTAGAACACTTAGTACTTGTTGCACATCTCCCAATCTGTGGTTCCCTGAAGTAAGACAAGCTCCCATGCTGTGATTCCTTGAACACTTAGTACTTGTTGCACATCTCCCAATCTGTGGTTCCCTGAAGAAGACAAGCTACCATGCTGTGATTCCTTGAACAATTTGAACCTGTTGTACATCTCCCATCCTGTGGCTCCCTGAACATGTGCACCAGTAAAACAGAAGTTCCAGTCTTGTTTATCTAGGCGTGCAGACCTATTGATTTGAAAACACTCTTAGATATCACTAGTTACCATGGACAGAACACATTGCCTGGTACCCACTATCTCATTACCCTGCTTGTGTGAAACTGTGGTCTTTGTCAAATAATTCTAGTTGTTCACAAACTTTCCAGACCTTTTTCCGTCATGTTGCTTGTTTACAATGATCATCAATGGTTATTCTTAGTCTTGGAATTGTGGTAAGTATTTCAAAACATTTTTAAAACTTGATATAAGATTTGTAATTAGCTTAATTTAGTTTTCTATCGGTTATGTTAATTGATATTAAGCATGATCTGACAGGAAACTAATCAATGATCCCTGTACCGACACCCAATACCATTAAGTCCATTATCTGTTCTATAGTTAATAGAAACAATGTCAATAGGTACCAACTTGTGTGTATCCACTTGTTTGTGATGACTTACACTCATACCAAAGAGTTGGTGATTGTGATGACTTCCACTCATACCAAAGAGTTTGTGTTTGTGATGACTATGAGTTTGTGATTGTCATGACTATCAGTTGGTGATTGTCATGACTTACACTCATACCAAAGAGTTTGTGATTGTGATGACTTTTACATACTTATAAGTAGGTGTTTGTGAATATTACGGAGACCCTGTATGTTATAGAAGAATACCTCTGATGTTTCACTTGACCCAAAAAGTGGTTACTGGACAGTCGGTCAAACCTGATGTGAGTCTTTTCACCATCTTTTTTCCCTAAAAGTATTACTGATAATATCTCGTACGGAAAAAAAGTGGACTAGCTGTTCCTCGGAAAAAATGGGGAAAATCTACTGCTCTGGATTCTGGATTATTACTACTAATTTAAAATGATATTAACATTGATATCATTAGCATGCTGATATAACATTTATACCATTATCTGGTCACTGGAATTCATCTTGACCAGTCCTACTATACATTCGAGTGTTAGTCAAAGTGTGCTGATATACCATTTATACCATTTTCTGGTCACTGGTAGTCATCTTGACCAGTCCTACTATATATTCTAGTGTTAGTCAAAGTGTGGTGATATAACATGTATACCATTATCTGGTCACTGTTAGTCATCTTGAAAATGATATTAACATTGATATCATTAGCATGCTGATATAACATTTATACCATTACCTGGTCACTGGTAGTCATCTTGACCATTCCTACTATATATTCTAGTGTTAGTCAAAGTGTGCTGATATTACATTTATTCCATTATCATGGTCACTGGTAGTCATCTTGACCAGCCCTACTATACATTCTAGTGTTATTCAAAGTGTGCTGATATAACATTTATCCCATTACCTGGTCACTGGTAGTCATCTTGACCAGGCCTACTATACATTCTAGTGTTAGTCAATGTGTGCTGATATAACATGTATACCATTATCTGGTCACTGGTAGCCATCTTGACCAGTCCTACTATACATTCTAGTATTAGTCAAAGTGTGCTGATATAACATGTATACCATTATCTGGTCACTGGTAGCCATCTTGACCAGTCCTACTATACATTCGAGTGTTAGTCAAAGTGTGCTGATATACCATTTATACCATTTTCTGGTCACTGGTAGTCATCTTGACCATTCCTACTATATATTCTAGTGTTAGTCAAAGTGTGGTGATATAACATGTATACCATTATCTGGTAACTGTTAGTCATCTTGACCAGTCCTACTATATATTCTTGTGTTAGTCAAAGTGTGCTGATATAACATTTATACCATAATCTGGTCACTGTTAGTCATCTTGGCCATTCCTACTATACATTCTAGTGTTAGTCAAAGGGTGCTGATATAACATTTATACCATTACCTGGTCACTGTTAGTCATCTTGACCAGCCCTACTATACATTCTAGTGTTATTCAAAGTGTGCTGATATAACATTTATCCCATTACCTGGTCACTGGTAGTCATCTTGACCATTCCTACTATACATTCTAGTGTTAGTCAAAGTGTGCTGATGTAACATTTATACCATTATCTGGTCACTGGTAGCCATCTTGACCAGTCCTACTATACATTCTAGTGTTAGTCAATGTGTGCTGATATAACATGTATACCATTATCTGGTCACTGATAGTCATCTTGACCAGTCCTACTATACATTCTAGTGTTGGTCAAAGTGTGCTGATATAACATTTATCCCATTACCTGGTCACTGGTAGTCATCTTGACCATTCCTACTATACATTCTAGTGTTAGTCAAAGTCTGCTGATATAACATTTAGATCATTATCTGGTCACTGGTAGTCATCTTGACCATTCCTACTATATATTCTAGTGTTAGTCAAAGTGTGCTGATGTAACATTTATACCATTATCTGGTCACTGGTAGTCATCTTGATCAGTCCTACTATACATTCTAGTGTTAGACAAAGTGTGCTGATATTTACATTTATACCATTATCTGGTCACTGTTAGTCATCTTGACCATTCCTACTATACATTCTAGTGTTAGTCAAAGTGTGCTGATATAACATTTATATCATTATCTGGTCACTGGTAGTCATCTTGATCAGTCCTACTATACATTCTAGTGTTAGTCAAAGTCTGCTGATATAACATTTATACCATTACCTGGTCACTGTTAGTCATCTTGACCAGTCCTACTATACATTCTAGTGTTAGTCAAAGTGTGCTGATATAATATTTATATCATTAGCGATTCAGTGATGCTAATATAAATGTTTTTACCCCGTGTGAAGTGATGCCAGCTTGTTAAGCAGGCTGTTGGGTCTCTGACAATCGTTTAATTGTTCTTCTCATTAATACAGACAGAAATGTATATTTATATCCCATATGGATGTTCCTTACCAGACTACACGGAGATATGTGTGAACTCGCTGTATATATATCAAATGTACGTACCTGTACTCAGCAAATGTTGATTCAAAAAGGAATGGAACTGCTTTCTGAGGTACATTCTAGAAGTAGGTAAAACAGCGGTGTTCTTATTCAGGGATGTGTGTTTATGTTCTCTGCTATAATAGAAGAATTCTATAAAACCTGGATCTCAAAGTCTGGAAAGCTTGCTCTGAGGATAAAGTCTGGAAAGCTTGCTCTGAGGATAAAGTCTGGAAAGCTTGCTCTGAGGATAAAATCTGGAAAGCTTGCTCTGAGGATAAAGTCTGGAAAGCTTGCTCTGAGGATAAAATCTGAGAAGCTTGCTTTGAGGATAAAGTCTGAAAAGCTTGCTCTGAGGATAAAGTCTGGAAAGCTTGCTCTGAGGATAAAGTCTGGAAAGCTTGCTCTGAGGATGTTTGTTGTCTGAGACAGGATTTCCAACAGAATGATGATATAGACAAGCTAAGTGGAAAAATAACTCTGTATATGTGCCGTGCCTTTTAGACGATTATGTTGTACTAATAACAGCTAAAGATGTTTTGTTAAATGAGGTCAAGAAAGTAATATTTATCACTGTGTTCCAAGTATATCATCAGCTATATTCAGGAATCAGACTTGTGTAGGATCAAAGAGAGTTGGATTGGGATCTTAAATCTGGTTTTTCTTTCAATAGTCCAAGATTCAAATTCTAAAAGTTGCATTTGGAAAAAAGGACTTTGTGTTTCCCACTGTTTTGAGATCTTGTGTTTCCCATTGTTTTGAGATCTTGTGTTTCCCATTGTTTTGAGATCCTGTGTTTCACTTTGTTTTGAAATCTTGTGTTTCTCATTGTTTTTGAGATTTTGTGTTTCCCATTGTTTTGATATCTTTTGTTTCCCATTGTTTTTAGATATTGTGTTTCCCATTGTTTTGAGATCTTGTGTTTTCCATTGTCTTGAGATTGATATCTTGTGTTTCCCATTGGTTTGAGATCTAGTGTTTCCCATTGTTTGGAGATCTTGTGTTTCCATTGGTTTGAGATTGTGTTTCCCATTGGTTTGAGATCTTGTGTTTCCCATTGTTTTGAGATCTAGTGTTTCCCATTGGTTTGAGATCTAGTGTTTCCCATTGTTTGGAGATCTTGTGTTTCCATTGATTTGAGATCTTGTTTCCCATTGGTTTTAGATCTAGTGTATCCCATTGATTTGAGATCTTTTGTTTCCCATTGGTTTGAGATCTTGTTTCCTATTGGTTTTAGATCTAGTGTTTCCCATTGTTTTGAGATCTTTTGTTTCCCATTGGTTTGAGATCTTTTGTTTCCCATTGTTTTGATATCTTGTTTCCCTTTGTTTTGAGATCTTTTGTTTCCCATTGGTTTGGGATCCTGTTTAAAGGGTGTCACAAGTTTCTCCAGTTTTTACTTCAGGGGTCAATTGCTTGTAAAACATCTACAACTCATTGGTGGATGTTGTTGGTTCCTTAACAATAAACAGTGATGATAGAATGTGCCACTAAGATTCTGTCTTTGTTGTGTCTTTTCAGATTGAGGAACTTCGAAAACGCCAGGTTAAGTACACTTATGGGGCGGATGGAGAGGATGTTGCCAAAAATGCCCTGAAGAAACTGTTGTTCGATTGTGATAAGCACATCGACAAAATGGCTACCTCTCCTAAAAGCACAAGCGGGACCAATACTCTCTATCCCAATCCAATGGTGAGTTTGTGTGTTTGTAGACATAGACTTGGACAGGTGGCAGTATATCTCTATCAATAGTACAATGTAGCTAGTTTACAGGTATTTGGGCAGTGTATGAGGTAAATGATTAGCTTTTTGATTATCAATACTAAAAACTTTTTTTTTTTTATCTTTTTTTTTTATATGGAAAACATAATTTGCAAAAGAAAGAGACCTAATGTAATCTGTGGTTTCGAAGTTGATGGGTATGTAGTATTGCCTTACTAAAAATTTGCATTGTCATGTTTTATTTTTGGAAACTTGAAATAGCATTGCTGCAAAAATTGCCCTGTAGGCATCGACAGTAACAAAGTGACTTTGTTTAGATTTAAAACATAAGTATGTCATACAAAAAATACTTTTCATCATCATATGGCACAACAGCCGATATTTTACAGCAATATGATAAAGGGATTCTCTTGTTGGTCCTAAGGTCATTGAAGTAGAGATGTGATGTAGGTGGTGGATTACCCGGTAGGGGGTAACACCTGTAGTGGACGTCATTACAGAGGATGACCCTATAGTGTACATTGTAACTACTGTATGTAGTTATATTGTCACTGTCCGCAGATACAAAATAAACTGTTTAGTGACACAGAAAAACATTCTTGTTGAAGTAGCAGACTTCTATGTGTACATTTGTAGTTTGATATCTGATCAGAAAACATTAAATTGTTATCAGTTAAGAAAGATGGATTCTAAAAATGGTGACCATGGTTACCCCAGCATGATGAAGATGAAACTGGATGAGAATATTTAAAAACAATTGCTTACATAAAATATACAGTGGATTTAACAGGCTAGGATGGAGACAGCTGATGATCCGGTATGCCGAGGCTTAAGGACTGTAAAATGTTTCAATTCTTGTTTCATATGTACACAGAATGAAAGCTAAGGAAGTTTAACGTGTCTGTTTTCACTTATGCTTGCAGAATTAATTTTATAATGCTGGAAGATATCCTTTAGAAACACACAATTTCAATTCAGGACTTCACTTTTTTTGAATAATTCAATTTGAACTGTGAAAAAGGCCCCGTTTTAATTTGAAGAAGACCCCATTTAGGACACATGCAGTGCTACCAGTGATATAACACTCCTAAAAGTCCTCTCATTGTAGTATGTTATGTTTCACAGATTGAGGAGTTAGAGAGTGAAATGAAGAAGTTACAACAGACTAACGACGCTAACCTACAGGACATGGCTGACCAGGTATGTCCACCACCTGTTTGTCATATAAACCATTGACAGTACATTGTAGAGCTTCCTTTAAGAATATACAGTGATTTGTACCTGTTTTCAACCTGTAGGCAATAAATGACACATTGAACATATCTGTTTCATATTGTATACAATGCAAAAAATATTCAAATAACAAAATTAAGCATACCTCACCTGTATAGCAAACAAAAACAAAATCTTAGACAGTTAGAGTTCTTGTTTATATTTATTAGGTGTTGTACCTCAGATAGCAACACGGTCACTCACAGGACACACAGAAATAAAACTTATTAGTCCCCTACCGGTAAAACCGGGGGGACTATAGTTTTCCCCTCCGTCCGTCCGTCCGTCCGTCCCTCCGTCCGTCCCTCCGTCCGTCCGTCCGTCCGTCCGTCCGTCCGTCCGTCCGTCTGTCTGTCTGTCTGTCCGTCCGTCTGTCCGTCTGTCCGAAGAGGTTTGTCAGCACTCTAGAGCCTTCATTCTTTCATGGATTTTAATCAAACTTTACAAACATGTAAAGAATTAAAATATCTTCAAAAAGTACGAGTTTCAAGGTCATCGGATCAAGGTCAAGGGCATTATTACTATAAATAGAAAAACTTTGTCAGCACTCTAGCGTCTTCATTCTTTCTTGGTTTTTAATCAAACTTCACACAGTCAAAAACAAAATAAAATATCTTGGACATGTTTGAGTTTCAAGGTCATCGGATCAAGGTCAAGGGCATTATTACTATAAATAGAAAAACTTTGTCAGCACTCTAGGGGCTTCATTCTTTCTTGGTTTTTAATCAAACTTCACACAGTCATAAAGAATTAAAATATCTTCAACAAGTTCGAGTTTCAAGGTCATCGGATCAAGGTCAAGGTCATTATTACTATAAATATAAAAACTTTGTCAGCACTCTAGCGTCTTCATTCTTTCTTGGTTTTTAATCAAACTTCACACAGTCAAAAACAAAATAAAATATCTTGGACATGTTTGAGTTTCAAGGTCATCGGATCAAGGTCAAGGTCACTGTTACTATAAATAGAAAAACTTTGTCAGCACTCTAGTGCCTCATTCTTTCATGGATTTTAGTCAAACTTCACATTATTGTAAAAAATTTCAATATATTGGACAAGTTTCAAGTTTCAAGGTCCTCGGATCTAGGTTGAGGTCACTGTTGCATCTTAATAGATTGCGGGGGCCGGTAGGGGACATGTATTGCTTCAGCAATACTCAGTATGCTTGTTTTAACAAAGCGAAGGTCTATAGGAATTATTTATTTTCATTTTGTTAGAGGACTTTTATTAGGTATCATTGTGAATAAGAAATAATATTGATACTGATTTTATACAGCCTGCTCGAGGAAGATTAGGGTAAGATATTGGAGAGCAAGGTCATACTGAAGGTCACAATAAAATGCACACAAAAAGAAATTATGATAGCTTTACTAATATTGTTCATCTCCATTTGTAACTTAGCTAAAGAAGACCAAAGCGTTGGAGCAGAAACTGAAGCCTTCTCAAGAGAAAAATCGAAAATTCCTCGAGAAAAACATGGAGCTGACCATGCAGAATAGAAGCTTGAAAGACCAGATTCAGGTTCTGAACGATGAAAGCAAAAAAATCGTAAGTGAATAAATATCCTTTGTACTGATTATGTACTTCAGGTTTTACGGGAGCTTTATATTTTGTGTCTTTTCGTACAACAACCGAGCCCTTCTTTAATGTAATTAGATTTCTAGGCAGATGGCTTTATATAAGTTTTACAATCTTGTTGCCAGACCTATTCCTATACCTGTGTACTTGTTATATATGACGAATGGATTTTGTTTTGTTTAAACCAACAACCAAGCTGAACATTGAACCACCTAGTTGCTTATTAATGACTGAGCTTTAGGGTATTCACCTTTAACTTGGTCGGTAAAGCACCTTTAACTTGGTCGGTAGAGCACCTTTAACTTGGTCAGTAAAGCACCTTTATCTTGGTCGATAGAGCACCTTTTACTTGGTCAGTAGAGCACCTTTAACTTGGTCGGTAGAGCACCTTTATCTTGGTCGGTAGAGCACCTTTACCTTGGTCAGTAGAGCACCTTTATCTTGGTCGGTAGAGCACCTTTAACTTGGTCAGTAGAGCAACTTTAACTTGGTCGGTAGAGCACCTTTATCTTGGTCAGTAGAGCACCTTTACCTTGGTCAGTAGAGCAACTTTATCTTGGTCGGTAGAGCACCTTTAACTTGGTCGGTAGAGCACCTTTATCTTGGTCGGTAGAGCACCTTTATCTTGGTCGGTAGAGCACCTTTAACTTGGTCAGTAGAGCAACTTTATCTTGGTCGGTAGAGCACCTTTAACTTGGTCAGTAGAGCACCTTTATCTTGGTCGGTAGAGCACCTTTATCTTGGTCGGTAGAGCACC